AATGAAGTTCGTGTACTCAGACCAGTAATATTTGGGGTCACAAGTTTTTGCCATGGATATTTTGTGGGTCAGAAGACAAAAAGTTTTGGAACCACTGCTTTACAGCACTAAAATAAAATTAAAAGAAGCAGACAAATGCACATTTAAAATGAGAATATAAGTACAAAATCTAATATTTTCTGTGATAACACTATGCTTCTTCTCAGAGCTAAGAGAAACACAGGACTAAAACCTGGCCAGTAAAATGCTAAATTGGGAATAATTTAGGTTTTATCCAGGGTCACAATAAGATTTTTTATATTTCTTTTGAGTAATACAAAACAAAAAATTGGCTTAATTAATTTTAAACACTTATTCTTAACCATATATAATTTAAGAACATTTTATTATAACTAACCACAACTTTCTCTGAAGTTTTAACTGCAGCACAGATGTCAGTGGGTTCCACAAACAAACAAACAAACAAAAAATAAAACCCACTGAAAACTGACATATGTTTTTTTTTAATGTTTCCACTGATCTTTAACCACGTCGCCTCGCTCGTCTGACGGGTTGAGATGAAAATGGCACAGAATACTTCTCTTTAGATGTCACTGCTCAGCAGCTGGTGTCACTTGTTCTGCACTGAGAGGAGGGCAGGTCTAAATAAACACCAAAGTCTTATCTTCTGTCACACTTAGTGCAGTAATAAGATTTTCCACAAGATGCCAGATGTCAGTTTAAACTGTGCCTCATAAAAAAAAACATGTTTTTTCTCAACATTTTGGGATCAATTTTTGAGATATAACAAACAGAAATGATTAAAAATTAAGGAGCTGAGGTTATTTTTCCCAAAACTAGATTTTTCACTGAAGCAGATGAGATGYAAAGCTTGACTTTGTCTCGTTTGTAATATTTTTTTCTGTTTCTTGTCTGTGTTGTAGCACCAGCCGGATTTGGCTATAGGAGTTCATCTGATGGATCGTTACACCTTTTACCTGCTGGAGTTCCTGGAAGACATCCACCCTGCAAGCAAAGCAAACATGAACGATCTGGTGAGATGAAAGTCTGTAATCTCCTAAATTAGCAGGGTTTGACACGTTTGCATTTRAAATAAAATAAAAAACCCTCTGGGTTTAGGGTTAGAGCAAACACGTTGCATTTTGCATCCTAAAATAAAAGATTATATCTTGAGTTTTGAAAGTAACAAGCACAATGAGAAGCCGAATCAGGTGCAGGAAACCCGTCCAGTACTCAGATTTGAATGTTTATTCTCACATCACAGCRCTGTGGTCCATCCTGACTGAACCCCTCTGCCTAAGATTTCAGGACAAAATGACCCCGAATCACATGTTTTTACAATGTTTATAGAAAACAATGACCCACCTCAGATATGATGTCATAGTAAACAAGGACGTAAACTGTAGAAAAGACACAAACTAAAGACTTGTCGATTCGCAGACTGTTTAAAGGGATCCTTGATTAGTTGTAACTTTAGACTTTATTTGAGAAACATACACTCACCGGCCACTTTATTATGTACACCTGTCCAACTG